AGGGGGGGGGGGGGGGGGAGGAGGAGAGAAGGAGAGGAGAGCAGAGAGGAGGATAGGAGGGGACAGGAAGGGAGGGAAGAGGAGGCTGGACGGAAGGGGAGGGAAGGGGAAAGGCTGGGGGGGAGAAGAACTTAAAGACACTATGTAAACCTGAGCAAGGGAAGTTGTGAATAGGAATTGATATTAGTAAAGGCACATACAAAAAAAAATTCAAGCTTATAATTTAATGACAACATAAGGTTTAATCTTTTGAAGAAGTAAAAGTACACATTGTTTTTAAAACTGCACAAATGACAAATATATAAAGAAGACCACAAGCTTTTTTCTTATGGAAATTATTTGAGAGTAAGTTAGAATTCTAACAATGTACCCTGTAATACTCTATTATTTCCCACAAATGGGGATATTTTCCTATATTACCTCAATGCAATTATGAGCTACATTACTGCATCTAACCTTTACGTTCTTTTCAAATTCTGAAAATGTGCTGAAAAATGTCTTTGTGATAACATGTCTGTTCAGGAAGAAGCAAGGTGTCTGAAGGCGTGTCTGTGAAGCCTGGTGTGGAGTGAGGCGCCTGAGGAATTGACACGTAGGAAGTCACTCAGATGTGTCAGGCCTGCAGCTGTGCCCAGCTCTGCTCTCTCCCTGCTGATTTGCATGGAACCAGAGCACAGCCCACTGCTCTGACAAGTTCTTAATAGGTTGGTCACATTCTGTGCAGGAATCAGTACCAGTCAGGACACAGCTTGGACATGAGGGCCTCTGTTGAGTTCCTTGGGCTCCTGCTGCTCTGGCTCTCAGGTAAGGAAGGAAAATGTGGGTTTTTTTTCAGCCCAGTGTCATCAGTGCCACCTTGTTTTTCAGGGCCTTCTCTTATTATATGTTTAACTGTGTGGATACTTATTTTTGTATTTTTTAATTTCAGGTGCAAAATGTGACATCCAAATGACTCAGTCTCCATCCACACAGTCAGCATCTCTTGGAGGCCGAGTCACCATCACTTGCCAGGCAAGTGAGAACATTTACAGAAATATAGCCTGGTATCAACAGAAACAGGGGAAAGCTCCGAAGCTCCTGATCTATGGTGCATCCAGTTTGCAAACTGGGGTCCCGTCGAGGTTCAGTGGCAGTGGATCTGGAACAGACTACACTCTCACCATCAGCAGCCTGGAGTCTGAAGACATTGCTACTTACTACTGTCAACAGTACAACGAATATCCTCCCACAGTGACACAAGCCATGACATAAACCAGCAGAGCAGAAGTGTGAGGTTGGGGCGCTCTGAGCAGAGCAGAAGTGTGAGCTCCACCTGCTGCTCCTGGTTCTTCAGTATCCCTTAGAGCGTTTCTCAACTCAGCCAAGCACTAAAGGCAACAGGGATGTTTGGATCCAGGATCCAGGAGAGATCCTCTGTGCCTTATCTATTTTCCCCCTCCCTCAGTCCCAGCAGTATAGACATGACATCATTTTTCCTGATTAATAAAGATCAGATCATTCTATCTGAGGATTTTGGTTAATGATAAGGTAGGTGTCCACACAGCAAAGTAAATGTCATTCTAGGTATTCCAAGAAGGACTTTAAAAATATTTGTTAATGATTCAAGGATTTAATACAATGTAATTTGATCACATTTATAGCCTCCTCTACCCCCACCTCACGATTTCCTCAACTTTATAGTCTCTATTACCATTTGTCTTTTTTTTAAAAAAAAAAAACTTATTAGGTCTAATCTGTGTTTCCAAATGCTCTTGGGTGTGGGTCTATCCCTTGGTGTCTGGTCAACCCAGCAGGCATCACATCAGTAAGGAAAAGTGACTTTCTCTCTCCCAGCATCTATCAATTGCCAGTAGATCCTCAGCTAGTGCTGGGTCTTCCTGCCTACCTTCCCTATCCTTGCTGCGCCTGCCTGTCTTGGGTTTGCACAGGTATTGTGCATGCTATTATAAGCACCATGGGATCATGTGTTCATATGTGTAACTACCCTGTGGTGTCCAGACAACAAAATTCCATGCATTCGTCTGCTACCTCTAGCTCTTACAATCTTTTCTGTCATCTCTTTCTCAATGATCCCTGAGCCTTGGGATAAGAGGGTGCAGTACAGGTGTTCCATTTAGGGCTGAGCACTCTGCAATCTCTTATTCCTTGCACGTTGACCAGTTGTGGGTCTCTGTGTTAATCACCATCTACTGAAAGAAGAGGAACTCTGGTAAAAGCTGAGAGATACACTAACCTGTAATGTAATAATAAGTCATTAGGAGTCAATTTAATACGGTGTCTATTTCCCCTAGGTCTGGCTTTATCTGCCATTTTCTTGAAGCAATTCATGGGATCTCCATCTGAGCCAGGGCTCCTGGTGCTCCCACTCAATTTTCTGGAGCAAGAAATTATATCTTTGACAGGCCAAGCTGAAGAAGAAAGAGATGCAGGAGAAGAACACCCTGTTGACCAAGGAGACCACTGACTAGAACAAAGGAGTGAAATTTCCTAAAAGCCTAGAAGGGAGGATTTCCCCACCCCACCCAAACATCATCATCTCTGAGACAGCATCATGATGTGGTGGAAGAGCCTCCTGCAAGATGGCCATGAGAAACAAGCTGCGCTGTGAACCTGGGCAGTCTGCACCAATGTCACTGTCCTGCAGGTCTATGATGGAGATCCTCCCGACCCCATTCAGACTACCAGATTTCACCAGTTTGCTCTGGGATAGTATAGAAAATTTTGTGTATGGTTAATAAAAATAAAATATGGCTTGTGTCAAAAAATTTTTCTTTGTCTACTTAGCAGAATGATAGTAGTAGGCTCCCCACTGTGGCCTGTGACCTGTCTATTTACAGGTTCTTTTCCCTGGTAACACTTCCAGGTATGGACTCCAGCTAGCTTCTTCCAATATTACATACACAATATAAAAAAGAGTTAAAATGTGGTTACCCTGTAATAGGGATTTAGTGACCCTAATAGAAACCACAGACCAGCAAATGAGAAGCTCAAGGCCAGGAATGAACTCTCTCTTTTGGAGCTGTTGACCAGAGGGATTCCATAGACCCTCAGACAATATTGACTATTGCTATTATACTTGGTTGCCCACCAGAACTTGACAGTAAGACACTTTTCTGAAGACAATACATACCTGAGTCTCAGAACAAGCAAGGAGAATTCAAGCTGGTACCTACCTGGAAGCCTCATCTCTGCTGGCTAGCTTTCACAGTAGTAGAAGGTGCTCTGTATGTTACTGGCAGAGAAAAGGTAATCATCAGCCTTACCCAGCTGTGCACCCTGTGAGCTGCATTAACATCCTACTTGGCAAACTCTGCTTACCGGTGCCATTTTGGCATGATTATTATGGAAGTAACCAACCATCTTCTAATTGGATCCAAGTAGGACTTTACAAGAAATCAACAGAGTGAGAGCCTCAGTTACAGTTTTCAAAAGCCTGGGATATATTTTGAGAAACGCTGACCATGGAAACAAGAGATTCTCTGGGGCTTCCCTAGAATTCAACATCCTCTGTCCCTGAAGGTGAAGGCTGCCTGGCCCTGCGCTCCTCTGTTCTGTCTGGGATCCCAGACGAGGGCTGTCAATGCTTTCAGCTGTTTCTGTCAGGTGATTCTCCTGCTCTCTCCACCTGCCTTCCCGTAGGTGTCAGTGGATACTGTTCCATCATTTCCTGGTCTTTTATATCATGAGATGGTCCTCCATGAGTCTGTGTGGAAAAATCAGAGCAAAGGGGGTGAATGGAGATGTCCTTTCTGAAGAAATGGTGATGCTGAGCTGATAACTTGCAGCCTATTATTACAAGAAAAAGTTTAGACTCATTAAATTAAGAGTTTTGGAGTGGTGGGGGGGTCGGGGGGGGGGGGGGACTGTGGTAAGAGAGGGTGGGGCATGACCAGACTCCATTCCATAAATGTATGAAGTAGTCAAAGAATGAATTTAATAGAAATGTATTTGATGAAGAATACTGAACAAAAAAATAATTTATGAATTGAGTAATTCTCCACTCTGACATGCCATGTGGTCAGATAGCATTCATGGACAAAAAGAGACAGCTAGAGCATTCACAGCTGACATTCCCTGATTTGATAGTCTGATGAGTTGGCCCTGACAATTTCGGCTCAGCTGCTGTGATTCACTGAAACCCAGATACACGATCACAAAGTCATGCAGCAAGGATCTTCTGTTAGTCAGTTTGCATAGTATGCTAGCTTTTCTGTTTGTTATACTAGGGGTCAGGCATGGATGAACCCTCAGGCAAAACTTAATTATAACACTGCTGTGCTCACTGTTCCCACTGCTTTCATAATTTTTCCAGCTAGGGTGATTTCAGAAGATCTTTTAATTTGCTTCTCAGAATTATTGTCAAGTATGAAGTGCAAGCCAGAGACTAAGCAGAGACAGGAGATTTTTCATGAAATAGGTAATAATTATTTGACAAATAAATGGAAAATCTTTCTTAACTAAAACCACAATAATGAAAAAATAATATCTGAGAAATTTAGAATTAATGTATAAACTTTACACTTGGTATGAAAACACCTTTCCATTTAACATTTGTCTAGAAGTCAAGTGACTTCTCAGCATCAACCACAGACTGCATATTAACAATGCCATAGAGCTGAGAGATTAGGACACTGAAAAATAATCAAAGTTCTATACAAGAACCAGGAAGCATGTTTTAGAGGTATTTACTTCACATAAGGACATTTTTTTCCTTCCAGAAGAACATCAAGAACATTTGATTTTAGCTAGAAAAGAGACACGTGAAGGAGATGAAGGTATAGAAATGGGAAAGGAAGACAGCACAGTGTCCGTATTTGCAGACGAGATGATTCTATACATCAAATACCCT